AAAGGAAAAGCCAAGGAGCTGCTTACAGGCTTGCTCCTCTGTTCTTACACAACCCAGGACAGCCTGCTCAGAGTGACGCCACCTGTAGCAGGCAGGGCCCTCCTATATCAGTTATTAATTTAGAAAACGCCCTCCCAGACTTGCCTAAAGGTAACCTGATGGGAGCCATCACTCAACTGAGATTCTCTTCCCAGGTGAATCTAGCTTAGTCAAATTAACAAGACAAACAAGCAAAACCCAACAAACACAGATCCTAGTACTACTGCTAATGTTTTACTTGTGGAGAGTCGTTTCCTATGTCTTGGTCTCACAGGATGCTGGAGTATGGCGAGTACAAAGGCCACCTGTACGGAACTAGCGTGAATGCTGTGCGTGCTGTTCTTGCGGAAGGAAAGATCTGTGTCATGGATTTGGAGCCTCAGGTGGGTCTGTGTAGAACATTTTCCATCACCCTAAAGTCACAGATGCATGTGATCTGTGTTGTGAGCACGCCCCAGACTGTAACTGAGACATTTTGTTCAGATAGACTTTTAAGAGTAAGGCCACCTCTCGCATCTCAGCGCCGGTTTGTTCCTCGGAATGTAAATTGGCAACGTTTTGCTTTTGGTTGGAGAGGAAGTCTTTTATTTCTCACACCCAGAACCAGGACCTGGGTGGACAGCCATTAAGAAACCAGCCCCAGTCTTTCTTGCTTTGACAGTGGTTGCAAACTTGTCCAGGGAACCTCTTGTGGAGGAGGATATTGCTTTAAGCAAAAGACGATGCTCGGCGTTGGCATAAATGTGTTACACGCCTGAACCACGCGTGAAGAGAGCTGAGGTTTGATCGGTGTTTGTGGAGGCCCAGCTTTTTGATCCTTTCATTCTCCTTATTTATTTAACGATATACTTGCGGCTAAAGACAACCGGGGGAGCGCGATTTGTTCTTTCTTGAGTAGAGTTGGGGGTTATGAAGATGGACGTGGTGTCCGATGAGAGCTGCTACCTAGAGGAAAGGGAGGTGAGAGCAAACGGACCTTTCCAGAAATTTTCTTTGATTTTGTCAGATGAGGTCATGCAAAGGAGTCTACTCTCACTAAACAGCATTTTGTCATGTATAACATTTATTTCAATAAGTCAATAACTAGTCATAGCTAGGAAGAGGAGGGGCTAAGATTCTAATTTAATTTTGGTTCTAGAGCCATATTATTATTAAATTGTTTTGATTTTATAACTGAGGACAGGGTGCATGAGACTATGACCACACTGAGTACAGGAAGCTAGGACTTTCTATATTTAATTTTCAAATATGTATACCTTGTATTTGAATGTGCTGTGTGGAAACCAGGGGATGATTTTCACGAATCAGTTCTATCTTCTACGGTGGATTCCAAGGATCGGACTGGGTTCAGCAGGCTTGCACGGCAGATGCTTCTGCCAGCTGAGCTTTCTTGCTGGCCCGCATCTGTCTTCTAACTGTGCACTTGGTTTTTCTGTGCAGGACATTCAGTTGGCTCGGACTCATGAACTGAAGCCCTATGTCATATTTATTAAGCCACCTAACATGAGTTTCATGAAGCAGTCTCGGAAAAATGCTAAGATTATTACCGACTACTTTGTGGACGTGAAATTCAAGGTACATCAAGTAGAAATCCTGGTATTACGTTCAGTCATGGCTAGGTGGAAGGACGGTCAGGCTGGGCCGAGGATGTGTCACCGTTTTTGTCTTTGTATGACCCTCTCCTCAGGAGCATGTCAATAAAATGGTTTTTTTTTTTTTAAAAAAAAAATTAGTTATTTCCACAGAATCCTTTGAAGGTTTTAATGAGTAATGTCTTTACAAGTTATCCTTTCCAGCCAGATGGTAATGACACATGCCTTTAACTCTACCAGCACTTGGGAGCAGAGGCAGGTGAATCCCTGGGTTCAAGGCCAGCCTGGTCTATGGACGCAAGTTCCAGGACAGCTAGGGATGCCCAGAGAAACCCTGTCTTGAAAAACGAAAACAAAAAACCAAACCAAAAAACACCCAAAATCACCAACAAATTTTATTAGATACTAATTACATATATTAAAATAAGATTTAATAAATTCTGTGATGCTTTTTCCTAGCTTAACAAAAGGACTCATAAGCCACAATTTGCAAAGCCAAACAAATTGTTTATAAGCATATTTGTATTTTTGAATTATTTTTACTTATTTTTAAAATGCTGTAATGAGTGTACCAACACACACACAGAGTAAATAGATGTATAAATTTTAGATATTTGTATACAGTTTAGTAGTCTTGACTATACGTATGTGTATATATAGTTTTACTACATATACACACATGTGTGTATATGTATGTATGTATGTATTTTCGAGACAAGGTTTCTTTGGGTAGCCCTGGCTGTCCTGGAACTCACTCTATAGACCAGGCAGATTTTGAGCTCAAAGATCTGCCTGGCTCTGCCTCCCAAGTGCTGGGATTAAAGGCGTGCACCTCCACAGCTAACAACCTGGTGTCTTACTGCCTGTTCTATTCATATTTCTCAATCTCTCCGAAAGGATGAAGACCTACAAGAGATGGAGGACTTAGCCCAAAAAATGGAGAGTCAGTTTGGCCAGGTTTTTGATCACGTGATTGTGAATGACAACTTGCAAGATGCATGTGCCCAGCTGTTGTCTGCTGTACAGAAGGCTCAGGAAGAACTGCAGTGGGTGCCAGAGGAATGGATTTCTCCTGGCACTGAGTCTTAATCAAGTCCTAAAGACCCAGTATAGCAACTGCACTTGAAAACAGCAGTGTTTGACCCACTAGAACTGCAACTGTTGCCATGTTGGAGGAGGCCACTTGTTCATTTCCAGGCTGCTCTGCAGCTCAGACCCAAAATAACCCACAAAGAAACCATATTATTTAAATCATTGCTTGGCCCATTAGCTCTAGCTTCTTATTGTTAACTCTTACATCTTAATTTAACCCATTTCTATTAATTTGTGTATCGCTATGAGGCTGTTGTTTACTGGCTAAAGCTCCTGCTTCTGTTTCTGTGGGGCTACATGTCTTCTACCTGACTCCACCTTCTTTCTCACAGCATTCAGTTTAGTGTCCTCCCCCACCCCCCGCCTTCCTCTATTCCCTGTGCAGGCCCAAGACAGTTTCCTTATTAACCAATGGTATTCACAGCATACAGAGGGGAATCCCACATCACTGCCGCTTACTGTATGGCTATAAATAGCATTGTATAATTACATGGAGCTATTCATTTGGCTCAGTCAAGTTTTTCCATCCTTTCCTCATTGGAGCTGATGCTAGGAACGTGAATAATGCTAAGTCTCTAAATGTGACAATATTCATGTGAGAATTACAGATTTCATATGGTGTTTGTGAGATTTAGTTTTTGAAAATTTCCTCTAAATAAACCAGACAATAGTTAATGGTTGAAACTGTATTTTACTTTTAAGATATTTTGTCTTCTGTTTGTTTTTTACAAAAGTGCCTAGTTGACCAACTCAGCAAGAATGGCTCACGCACATACCTAATAAGTGGACCTATAACAATGTTATTTCCGAATCAGTGTGATGTGGGGTTTACCTCGGTATGATGTGATTACCATCAGTTAATAAAGGATCTGCTGTGGGCCTATAGCAGAGCTATAGGGGAACAGAGATAGGCAGGGAAAACTAAACTGAATGCTGGGAAAAAGAAGGGCAGAGTCAGAGAGAAGCCATGGAGCCTCCAGCAGAGACAGACCTGCTGAAACTTTGTTTGTAGGTCACGACCTCCTGGTGATGCACAGATTAATGGAGATGGGTTAAACTAAGATGTAAGAGTTAGCAAATAAGAAGCCAGAGCTAATGGACCAAACATTGATTTAATTAATACAGTTTATGTGTGATTATTTCGGTTCTGGGAGGCTGGGGACGAACAAGCAGCCTCTTCACAACATCAGTGCCCAATTTAGTAAGGGGCAATGGACTAGTTCTGGGGGCCTGTATATGAGCAAACTCCAAAATGAGGACTCTTGGTTTCCCTAGATCCGTCACTTCCAGCGGCATTCCCTGCACCCACGTCTGTTCATCTTCTTCATAGCCACACTGCCCTCCATGCTACAAGATTTAAAAAAAAAAAAACCTCTCTCTCAGCGGCATTCCCTGCACCCACGTCTGTTCATCTTCTTCATAGCCACACTGCCCTCCATGCTACAAGATTTAAAAAAAAAAAAACCTCTCTCTCTCCCCCCCCTCTCCTCTCCCCTCCCTTCCTCCTCTCCCTCCTCCTCTGCCCGCCTGTCTCTCTGTCTCCCTGCCCCCGTCTTCTGTTGCTCCTGTCCCGGGCAGGTCTCTCTTTCCCCCTTTTTACATTCCCTTTCCCTTAATAAAAACCCCTCCAAGTGAACTCTGTCGCCTGGCGTCTTCCTCTTGCACGCCACTTTATAAAATGACAACCAAAGGATTAAAAAAGCTCGTCCTTTTCTTAACGTAAACACCGTGTCTAAAGCAAATGCGGGGGAAAATTAAGTCGTTTTTGCATGACAGTAAGGTAGGACGGGATTTGGCTACAGGTTGTGGTTGCTAAGAACCCGTTTTTACGGCTGTTCCCATGGAAGAAACGGTCAGAACTGCATCTATGAATTACACTCTAGGTTGGCAGGGAATCTAGTCTTGGCTAGTCCACGTCTGCCCGGTACGGTACCCCAGCTCTAGGGATCTCCCCTCTGACAGCTCCCCGGCAGGGTGGCAACCGGGCCCGGCGTCTCCGCGTTGCCATGACGACGCCGGCGGGGCGTCTGAATCTGGGCCTGGTCCCGCCGGGCAAACCACGCCGACCTCCGCTCCGGTGAACGTCGGCCCAATGGCGATGCTTCCCCTTCCAGCGTAGTTTAAAAGGGACAGTGCGGGTGCGGACCCGGCAGCGCCAAAAGTCGCCCGCGGAGGCGCATCCTGATGACGCGAGGTGCGGGGACGCTCCGGCGGGAGGCGCAACCCGATGACGCTCGGCGCCTGCGCCTGGGTGGGCGGGGCGGGAGCGGCTCCCGCTGCTCCACCGCGGGCCCTGGAGACGCGATGGGGAAGAAGCAGGTGGTTAGCGAGGCTCAGGTACTGCTGAGCGGCCGGACTGCCGTCGTCTGTGGAGCCATCCTGGTTGTGAGGGCCGTCGGGTTGCCTTTTCGGGATGGGCGAGATGGGTCGTTTCTGCGGGACTTGTGAGACGTGGACCACTAGGTGGGCTGGGTCCCGCTCGGTGGCATTAGGGCCTCCTTCAGTCTTGTATCATTTTCATGATTCTGTTTGGATGACGACCACAATGGATTGCAAAGTTGGATAAAAACAAGTGCATCCAACATTTAAGCCTTGGGAATCAGTGCCCTCTCAAGCAGCATGAGATAGCTTGCGATATTAAGTTGACTGCTAGGCACCTGTTTAGTTTTCAGTTCTGTTAAAGATTTATTTATTCAGTTCTGTTAAAGATTTACTTATTTATTATTTATTTATTTAAGATGTTTTGCCCACATCTATCTATGTGCATCACTTGTGTGCCTGGTTGTCAAAGAAGCCAGAAAGAGGCTGCCCGTTTGCCTGGAACCGGGATCACTGATGGCTGCGAGCTGCTTCGTGGGTGCTGGGAACCGAACTGAACTTCTGCAAGAGCAACAGGTGCTCTTAATGGCCGAGGTGTCTCTCCGGTGCTTGGTATTCTGTTTTGAAAGGTTTCAGAAGGCTCTTAACTAATGCTCCCTGAACTTGCAAACGTGATTTTTTTTTCTTACTCAGAGCAGCGTAAATTATACCGGAACCTCAGTCTTCTCTGTTTTAAAATATGTTTTCTATTTCTCTTTAAGATAACTCTTTAAAAAGCACTAGACCTCAGTTGGCTTCCTACTTAAATAAAATAAAAGCAAACCCATATCCCTTCCCTTGGTTTGCAAAGCCCTAATTAATCCAGCGTCTGCGTTGCCATCTTTGGTTACTATGCTCCAGCCTTGATGATCTTTACCTGGAGCCTTCTGAGCCCAGGATTGCCTGAAAGCCTTAACATTCCATCCTTGTTGCCCATCATGTTGGCTCCTTTATCATGCAGGTCTCAGCTCAAATAACCTCAGAGAGACTTCTCCTAAGTAAAGTGGCACTTTTTATTCCATATAGATAGTTATTCATCATATCTAAATGCACACATACACATCACCTCCCAAGTTTTACTGATAAACAGTTTAAAAAGATTTGAAGAGAATAACTGATCTATTTATGAGTTTTTTTTTTTTTTGTCTTTCCCTTACTCCTATAGCATCCTCCACGAGCCCTTCCACCTGTGCCGAGGTAAAAATAATTTACAGTCGTTTCATTATTGAACTTTAAAGATGTAAAAATAAGTAGCAAAATTAATTTGAAAAACTACAGTGCTTAAGGGGAAAAAAACCTTCCTGGAACTTTTAGGAAAATTCTCCCTAAAAGTTTGGAGGCAAAAATTAAATTTGAATCTTGAGAAATAATTGTTGTAAATAGTAGAAATCCTTAATCCAGCATGATAGAATAATGGGTCCGTTTTGAGTGTTCTCGTGTCCTGTTTACGAGAATTCTCCTGGTGCCCTTGTGTTTTCGGGAACAGTTCCATCAGGGCTGAAGCCGATTATAACCAGCAGTGTCCTTAATCTGCTTAGTCCCTTTAATTAGTGAATAGAAGGGAATACGTATTTGTGTTTTCAAAGGTTTTTTTTAAGCAGTGCTGTTAAACAGAATGCGTCTTACAGATAATAAACTAGTTTATAAACTGACAGTATGCGAAAGCTAGTCGTATTTTTAAGGTTGTGATGATGTAAGTCAGTTTTCAGTCCGATAATAATTAAGTTTCTTTCTTTCTTTTGTCCTGCTGATTCCGTTTGGCTGGGGCCACGTGAAGTGCGATTCAAGGTGAGTGTGTTTACTATTGGTGTGAAAACTCCTAAGCCTTGGTGTTCTAAGACAAGCGTGGAGATGAGATGAGCGTGGTCGGCCCATGCCAGTCCTAGTTCTGGGAAGGCCAAGGCAGGGAGACTCTGAATTGGAGGCCTGTGCGAGCTGCAGAGTGAGAACCTGTCTCAGTGGGGTTGAATCTGGGGACAGTGGCGTACACAGATAGGCCAGCCACTTATAGGTTGAGCGAGGAGAGCTGCTTGAGCTTAGGCGTCGAAGGCCAGTTTGGGTAACAGCCAAACCGTGCCTAATAATAATAATAATAATAATAATAATAATAATAATATTTTGACTCCTTAGTTTGCTCTATTTAGAATTGAATTGGAATCTAGTTTATAAAACAACAGTAACCATTTGTTGTTACAAACTTCCGTGACTGCTGTTTTAAAATTATGTAAGACATATAGTTTAGATTGTTCTCTGCAGCCCCCAGAGAACACTTGCTGAGAGCTATATCAGACTGTACTTTTCCTTTTTCCTTTAGTCAGGGTAGGCAAGGTTATGCTACACTGATAACTCCAAGATTTTTATTCTCCTAGTATCTTCTCAAGGTTGTTAGAAATAATACAGAGTGGCACCAGCAGCATCAGCCCGAGAACCTGGGTTGGGTCCCCAGAACCCACATGGCGGAAGGAAAGAAGTGACTCCCGCAGGTTGTCCTCTGACCGCTACATATAAGCTGTGGTGTGCGTGTCTACGCGCACACACACGCATGCACGCACATGTGTATACATAGAATAAACATTATTTTTAAAAATAAAAAGCCCTACTAGGTTAATTGCAAAGCTATTGTGCAAAGTTCAGAGCGGTTGTCTTGGTAACGATGTGCTGAGATCTAGGCCGCTTTTGTCACATGGTCCTGTGGTCCTACTGTGAAGCTCTCTTCCCTGACCTGGAGCCGCCTTTTCCGTGTTTGGGCTTCCAGGTGACACATATCACTCCCGTCCTAGTACTGAACAGGTGTCACCCTGCTAACCCTCTGAGGTCAACAAGGTCAGGCCCCTCAGTGCTGCAGACAGACACAAATCACTTCTATTCAGCCTCCTGGCCAGAACCAGTCTCGACCAAACCTCAGCACAAGGGACTGGAGACTGAATGGGACCAGGTCTTGAGCCCACTTTCTAAGTCAGAGTTGTAGGCAGCACTGGGGGACCATGTATTATTGGCACCATGCTGTGCATGGCGGCAGGTGGCCTTGTCAATTTCATAACCTTTCCCCCTGATGTGTAAATGCTGGTTGGTCCCAGAGAAGCGAGGGGAACGTCTTTTCTTATCAGAAGTTCCGTTCCAGCTGATGTTCTGCCATTCTCGCTGCTGTTCTTTCTGTCTCCGTAGAAGATGTACCACCTAGCCATCCTAAGAAGAAGAAACCCAGAACGAAAAGCACGTTAGGTAAGATGTCCTGTGTTGTGGGAGATCGCACGTTTCCCCAGGAACTGAGCACCATCAACATCACAGATTACAGAGCCCAGGTTCTCGGGTACCAGACTGATGTGTTGAGGACAGGCAGGCAAGCATGTGCAGCCTGGAGGGTAACCAGGCTCTTCATAGGATAAAATATTGTGCCACCCAGTCTGATGTTTACAGTATTGCTGTGCCCGTCAGGTCTTTTGTTCCTAGGTAACAAACATAAGTGTTTTTAAGCTCTGTTTGGTTCCAGACCTTTGAACACAATAATGGGTTTAGACCTGGGATTTTTAACTTTCCTATTCTCCGTTAGAGCAAGACCCTGAAGGCAGGTCAAATCATCAGTGTTTTTAGGCTTTAATAATAGCAGGGCCATGACCCCTTCCACCTCAGTCGCCTAACTGGTGACTCTGGATGGTCTGTGAGTAACCGAGACTCGACACAGTTAGAATCCGTCACCTTCAGTCGTCAGTTCTCGCTACTCAGTATTTTCCCAGTGGGCTTAGAACCTCAACGTCACCGTTAGTTGACCCCTAAACTTCACCCTTTCCTTAACCCCTCTCAGAAGTCAAAAAGCCTGTGTGTGTGTGTGTGTGTGTGTGTGTGTGTGTGTGTGTGTGTGTGTTTGTAGTCTATTTCTAAAGCTGACTGCCAGCGGTGGAAGTATGTATACTGTTGATGCTTGGGTTCTGCTTGCACGTCTTCAGGGAAGCTTCTCTTACTGCTGCCATCGTAAATCAGGGGCGTGCCACCTTCTCTAAATCCCTACCAGAATAGGGCAGTGCCAGTCTTTAGTATTCATGACTCCAGGAATGGGAAAGTGGCTCATCTTCTACTTGTGTTTCTCAGCCACTTTCTCCCAGTGCTAGGAGAGCCCAGACCCCCACGTGCTGTGCAAGTGATCTCCCACTCCCCTGCATCTCGAACCACACCTGGCCTTCCTCTAAAGGCCAGTGAGGCTAAGAGCTCTCGCCCTGTTCTTGGTATATTTTTATTTTTATTTCTAGGGAATGGCAGTAGGCGAGAGAAGGTGGTTAAGGGTGATTCAAATTTCCCAAATTATGTTGAAATTCTGCTAAAAGGTTTCATTAGGGGAAAAGTTGCAACTGCTAATTGACCTGCTACCTGCAGTTAATAATTCCCGATGACTTCACCACGTGCTGACGTTCTAATGAAGGAAGGAGCGGTAGAGGCGGTAGAGTTCTTAGGGCAGGGTGCAGGAGGCAGGAGCATTGTCTGTTCTGTTAGTTTTCAATTGTATGCACCTTTTAAAAGCTTTGAGTGTTGTGAGGCAATTCCTCCTCCTCCTCTTCATCCTGCGGGGCTTCTTTTTGACCCTCTCGTTCTAAGTTTTCCTAATCCCACATCTATTTCTTTCCCATCACAAAGCCCAAAGTTAGAGAGGGGGTCATGAAGTCATCAGGGCACAGTTCAGAAAAGAGAGGGTGCTGATACACAGAAAACACTGCAGGTGTCCCTGCCCATCTTCTTTCTAACTCAGTGGTCTCTGCTCAAGATGGCCGTTTTTCTCCTGTAGGTCCTGCTTCTTCAGAAGGCCTTGCTGAGCCCGTTGCTCATAGGCGATCTGAGAGCAGTGAACCACCAGCTGAGGAGCTCAAGGGACACCCAGAGGCTCCTGTTCCCAGGAGACAGAAGAAGATCAGGCCGCCTCCTGGTACGTGAGGAAACCCAGGTTAGACTGAGGCAGAGTTGTGATTTAGAGCTTTGTTCCCGTATTCGGGTTCCCATAGACAGGTTCCCATGTTTGGGTTCCCGTATTCGGGTTTCCGTATATGGGTTCTTGCTCCCTTAGTTAAAATAACCGCCACTTCGGCTCCGATGACTTCAGGGTTCTTTTCAGGCCTCTTTGGTCATGGAATATATGAGAGAAGAAGTAAAAAATTCAGACATAAAAGAGAAAGCTCAGATATCAGTGCATGCAAGAACTTAGTAAGTGAAGTGGACACTTCAGATTAGTAGGACAAATTCTGTACTAACAGTAATCTAAGTAAGAAACAGCATAGGGCTGTTGGGATCACCATCTGCAGATCATTACACATAGTCTTATTAATTATGAAAGCTTGGCCTTAGCTTAGGCTTGTCCCCTAGCTATTGTAACTTAAATTAACCCATAATTTTATTAATCTGCACCCTACCACGTGATGTGTGTCCAACTCATTCTACCCCCCGATGGCATCTCCCCTTCCGCTCTTCCATCTCTCCTGCCTGGCTGCTGGCCAGTCGGCCTTCTATGACACCAGTCACAGCGGCACATCTTCCCACAGTGCACAGGTATTCATTCCGTAACACAACAGCCACCGTTTATGGTGTATCTGTAACTCCGGCAGTGCTCTCTGTGTAAACAAAAGTACGCTGCGTGCGCACGCACACACATGTACATGTGTGTATGCATGCATATCAAGAAGGCAATGCTATTTGCTTTTTAAATTAGAAAATCTAGTGTTGAGCTGAGCATCATACGTACCTGTAATCCCAGCACTGACAAGGCTGAGTGAGGCAGGAGGATTGCAAGGCATAGGCCAGCTACATAATGAATTCCAGGCTAACCTAAGCTACAAAGCAAGATCTTGTATCAAAAAAAGACCACAATATGAAAATCAAATAAATCTAATGTTAATGGGACAGGTATAGGAGTAGAAGCACAAATTGCCTCCGTCTGTTTAGATGTCTAATTAGAATCAGCTGTAATAATTGATATAATGAAAGGATATTAGCTTTACATTTCTACAAATTGTGACAGAAAATGGTTTAGGTATAACACTTGGATTCATCAAGATAGGATAGATAAGAGAATGTTTTCTCTGAATATGCCAAGTACAAATGGACTGGACAGTGTGAACGTAATTCTTACCTGGTAGCTGTTCTTACTGTGCATACTTTTACAGTGTTAGAGTTCAACCCTTTCCATCTTGTTTAGACAAAAGGGGGGAAAGTTGTGGGAAAATCTTTTGTACACTGTGAAGATGTGTCTTTGCTAAAGTGCCTTCTGATTGGTTTAATAAAGAGCTGAATGGCCAATAGGTAGGAGGAGAGGTTAGGAGGGACTTGTGGGGAGAGTGAGGAAGAAGAGAGGCAGCGATGAGCGTGAGACTCTTATGAAGTAAGCATTCAGTACCGAGGAGGTAACCACATGGCAGAACGTAGATTAATATAAACAGATTAATTTAAGCTATAAGAGCTAGTTGGGAACAAGTCTAAGCTGAAGGCCAAGCTTTCATAATTAATTAGTATCCATGTTGTTACTTGTGTGCTGGTGGCCCAGAGGAAGCTCCGACTCCTTCCCTGGGATTGTTGATGCTCTTCAGCATCTCTTGAAGGTGGGAGCATCATGCCAATCGCTGTCCTGTCCTACCTTATTTCATTCCACTGTTTCCATGACTCCCTTCATGCACGACACTAGTCATCGGATTAGGGTTCATCCTCACCCGGCATGACCTCGTCTTAACTTGTCTAAATATGTAAATACTCTATTTACAAAAGTTACATGTGTGTTTCTGGAGCGTAATTCAACCCAGAACATAGGTCTAAGCGCACACATGCACAGTGAAAACAGGGAAAGTTGGCAGTGCTATCAGTGATTAGATTTAAAAAAAAGAATGAAACATGATTTTCCTGTTTCTCATCTAAGAATGCGTATTCCTTTATCAGAAGGGGCAGTGGACCGACTTAACAAAGTGGAGTAAATCCGAGGCTAGCCCTGCAGACACAGGTTAGCCACAGGGAGAACTTAATAGAAGTGCCTTCCCTGGCTGGTTCATTGCTGTGCTCCTGGAGGACCGCAGGCGCTGATTGCATAGAGTCTGGAGCAGAGAGACATGGGATTAGTTGTTTGAGACAGGGTCTCACTTTGTAACCCTGGCCAGCCTGGGGTTTACATGTTGTCCACGCTGGTCTCAGATTCACAAAGATTGGCCTGTGTGTGCCCTCTGAGTGCTGAAATTAAAAGCATGACCACCACACCTGGCCAAGTTTTTCATTCAAAACATTTTACACCTCTATACTATAATTTCAAGATTTAATATCCACAAATATGGGAAAAACATTGAGAAATCTAATCCAGCTGCATATGTTGGGCCGTGCCTTTAGCAGACAGTTCAAGATGAACCTGGCCTACATAATGAGACCCCGTCTCAAACACCAGCACTGGCATTAGTAGAAAGGAATTGGTGCCACTGACAGTCTTACGAGGGTCAGGAGGCCGTGTGTTGTTTCTGTCTTTACGTTGTGGTCATGTTATGCATCTCATTTTCAGAGTTGGAGACGTCCTTCAGTGAGAAGCCGTCCAGTCCATCTTTACTGCGGAATGAAAATGGCATCGAGGTGGAGCCGCCTGCGGAGGCCGTTCTTCCCAAACCGCGGAGGAAGGCAAAGTAATAGTTTACTCGTCCTTGTGGCTCTCTCGAGGAGGTGGTGCTGGAGAACACTGTCTTTGTGTGTGTCCGGATGAGTCGTGTTACAGAGATACGAGTTAGGAATAGAACACTAGCCAGAGACCAGTGTATGGGCATAGCCTAAGGAGTCGTCTCTTAAAAAAAGCTTAAAAACAAAGAAAATATTTCCATGCTTGTTGCAAAAAGCGAGGTAAAGATTAGTCATTGAAGATGAGCTGCTGTGATTTGTTCTTCATGTTAATAGAGTTTGAGCTATTTGCAATCAGCATAACTATTGTGTTTTAAAAAAGGAAGTTAAGTCTCATATAGAATACAAGAGTATACTTTAAAATAATACCCTAGAAGTTATAAAACATTGACGTTTGTACTTAAAAACGACTCTGCGAACAATTTTCAGTTACATTTAGAATTTTATAACTTTAGGCCAGGGAAGTCGCATCCAGCCAGTGACCGTTTTCTCGGTGAGAAAACCGAGGTCCACAGAAATACAGGCAGTTTGTGTCCATAGCAGATCTGTTTGGGTAAACCAAGGTCCGCAGAAGTACAGGCAGTTTGCGTTCATAGCAGATCTGTTTGAGTAACCAGCATATTTTCATGCTCACGAGTTAGGACTCTTTTCATTATTTCCATGGTAATTTTTAATGTGGGCCTTTCTTCAGGGATGATCTGTTTTTTCAAAGACTTCCCCTGATTTCAGGAGAACCCAGCCAGCAGAACTACAGTATGCTAATGAGCTAGGCGTGGAAGATGAAGACATCATTACGGATGAGCAACGTACGCTAGAACAGCACTCTCGGTTCACGGCACCCACTGGCGTCAGCCAGCCTGTCGGCAAAGTATTTGTGGAAAAAAGCCGTAAGTAATTTCTCGTTTTAGAATACAGTTGCTCTAAATATTGTAGAAGGATATCTTTAACCTGGTAAGTATAGTTCCGATGACTTGAATGAAGGAAATATTTAAAAGTATGAACAAAAATTGACACATAAAACTGTTATTAAACTGTTTTTCCCAGACTGGAGAGATGGCTCAGTGGTTAAGAATATTGCCTCTTCTTCCAAAGGTCCTGAGTTTAATGACCAGCAACCACATGGTGGCTTACAACCATCTGCATGCATGCAGGCAGAACACAGTACACATAATAAATAAATATTTAAAATGAAAAAACTAAATAAACAGGATCTCTCTTTGGGTTGGTGCTCACCAGATTGTCTTGTCTCTGCTTCTGGATGCTGGGGTTCCAAGCATGGCCAACATGCCTTACAATTTTAGGTAGGCTCTCAGGGTCAAAGGCAGATCCTTGTCTTTGCAAGGCAAGCATTTTACCAACTGGGCCAATCCCTCCCCTATTTTTTCTAGCAGTATTACCCAGAATTTTTATTCTTATTTCCTTTAGTGTAAAAACTTCCCTATTTGAGTAACTGATCAAAAGGCACGAGGGGTTCTGTTCCCTATCTGGTAATTTTTTTTTTGAGAAAATGAATTATTCTTTCATCCTTCAAAACATGTGAGCAGTGGGTTTTGTGAGGATAATTGAGGTGGAGTCTTGCCCGCTTCCTGAGATCAGTTCTGGATTGTTGCATCTAGAAGAACCCTCTAAGCAGTGCAAGTGTGAAGTCCCACTCCTGAGTCTCAGGAGAACCTTATGAAATACCCCACATCTTTCCTGTGAACACAGAAGCTGTGCACACACCCCAGCATCTTTTCTGTGGATACAGAAGACTGTACTCTCCAGCATCTTTTCCCAAGAACTTTAAAGAATTTTTCAAATAACTACTTGCCTTGATAGTGTAAACATTTTAATTTTTAAAAAAATTACTTATTTTTGGAAAATTTTTTCTTTTATGTGTGTGAGTGTTTTGCCTGTGTACCACATGTGTGTCTTGTGCCTACAAAGGTCAGAAGAGGACATCTATTCCTTGCAATTGGAGCTGTAGGTGGTTACGAGCCATCATGTGGGTGCTGGGAACTGAACCCAGGTCCTCTGTAAGAGCAGCAAGAGCTCTTAACCACTGAGCCATCTCTCTAGTCTCCAGCATTTTAATTTTAATATTCCTAAAGTCTCTAAATTACTTCTATAGACTGTCATGCTAAGGACTTTTTTCTTTAAATAATATTTATTTGTTTGTTTGTTTATTTATTATGTATACAATATTCTGTCTGTGTGTGTGTCTGCAGGCCAGAAGAGGGCGCCAGACCTCATTACAGATGGTTGTGAGCCACCATGTGGTTGCTGGGAATTGAACTCAGGACCTTTGGAAGAGCAGGCAATGCTCTCAACCACTGAGCCATCTCTCCAGCCCCCATGCTAAGGACTTTTAAGTTTAATTCTGAGTTGAAAGTTTATTGATGTATTTCATTAAATACTGTTGATTCCTAAAACTGTTATTTTAACATCAACTTTGGCTTGAGAACAAAACTTTTTGGCATTGCACAATTTTTTTTAAAGATGAGGAAATTGTATGTCTAAGCAGCCAAAGGTGAAAGAAGAAAAAATACTTACAGCCAAGGAGAATTTTTAGATTTAACAACAACAACAACAACAGTTCCATCTTAGTTTTACCCTCCTTTTAGTTTTCTTACGCTCGTGTGCTTGTTTGGTACATATGAGTGACGTGCATGTGAGGTCCGATGACAGCTCTGAGGAGTCAGTTCTGCTCTTTGTGTTGGTCGAGGGACTGAGCTTAGGACGTCAGGCTTGATTTGAGGCAGCATCCTTACCTCAATAGCCGTCTTCCAGGTTCCTTTATTTTCCTCTTATTTTATTTCAGTTATTTATATGTGTTTGTGCAGGACTCTGTGTGTGGGTGTGTGGATGCGTGTGCAAACCCCTGTGGAGGCCAGAGGTGCCAGCTCCCTCTGGAACTGGAGTTGCAGCTGGGGTCTGAACAGAGGTCCCCAGGAAGAACGTTCGTGACCATGGAGCCATCTCTGCAGCCCTTGGTTGTTCCTGAGACAGAGGTTCATGCAGCCCCCATGACCCAGAACTCATGAGCCTGCTGCCAGTGCCTCCCCAGTGCCCGGATGGCGGGCAAGCCCCGTCACGCTGGCGATCGTGTCTTTTCTGCTCTACCCTCCAGGGAGGTTTCACGCGGCAGACCGTTCGGAGCTGATAAAGACCACAGAAAACATAGACATATTGATGGATGTGAAGCCGTCCTGGACCACTCGGGATGTGGCCCTCTCAGTGCACCGAGCTTTCAGGTGACGCTGTTTGTTGACATTCGTTAAGCATATGTGAATTGGATTTCATCATTTAAAACAAAAGAGAAAGGTCTCGGCTGTTCCGTACTTTAAACAAAATTGACAATTTATAATGGTAAAGAAATAGATTTATAGGTTTATTTTTATAGACAGTCCACTTGCTCTTTTCAGTGTATGTTGAATCTTACTTTGTGTGAAGAGATTTTAAAATATTCTTTACCTTTTTATTTTAGGGATTGGTATATAATTAAACCTTTTCCCCTGCAGGATGATTGGCCTGTTTTCTCACGGCTTCCTGGCTGGCTGTGCCGTGTGGAACGTTGTCGTGATCTATGTTCTGGCGGGAGACCAGCTGTCTGGCCTCTCCAACCTCCTGCAGCAGTACAAGCCCCTGGCGTACCCGTTCCAGAGCCTCCTCTACCTGCTCCTGGCTCTGAGCACTGTGTCAGCCTTTGACAGGTAAGGCTGTGTGGTGGTTCCTTCCCGCCTGTCTCCAGGAAGAGATGGAGAGCAGAACGTGTCACCAACTATGTCTGTTTGCAGGTGACGTCAGCTGCACGAGTACCAGGGTTAGACAGTCACCACTTACTCTGGGGAACACAAGTCGACCCCCCCCTTTTTTTTTTGTTAGCAATCAGCAGGGCTGGAGAGATGGCTCAGTGCCCTCCAGGGGAGCCCACAGCAGGAACTCACAGGGCAGGACATGGAGCCATGAACTGAAGCAGAGGTCATGGAGGAATGTTGCTTACTGGTTTACCCTCCATGGCTTGCTCAGCCTGCTTTTTTCTACAACCCAGAACTACCCACCGCAGGGATGGCATCGCTCACAGGAAGCTAGGCCCTCCTATATCAATTCTTAATCAAAGACATAGCCCTATCAGCTTGCCTACAGGCCAGTCCTGTGGAGGCATCTTCTCAGTAGGTGCCCTCTTCCCAGCTGACTCTAGCTCGTGTCGGTAGACAAATGTAACCAGCACTGTAGCTTGATCTACCGCAAGAGGAGGAAATTCATGATTTTTGAAGATGGGAGTTAGTTTGCTTTTTCATGATGACTTGATACCGAATAGTCTCAATATTAGATATCTGACGTGGCCTTGTAAGGAAGGTTAGCCGGTCTTTCCACTTGCCGACTGGCCGGCGACCGTGGGCCTGGTGCCAGCCGACTAGAGGAGGGCAAGGTAGCGAAGGAGGAAGTCACAGCGCACAGTGACAAGCGTCCTCATTTCATTCCAGGACCGACTTTGCGAAAACCTCAGTAGCCATCCGGAACTTCTTGGCCCTGGAGCCCACAGCTTTAGCTTCTTTCTGTAAGTAATAGTTTGCCTTGATGACTGTCATAACTGAGGAGTCTTACTGTCGTTCTGAATCAAGAAAAGTATTTTACAGACGTTTAATATTATTTCTTTGTATGAATCATTACTTATAAGTCAGGGAAATTGTAATTTAAAACATAGGAGTAACTTCGATAGAACTTTTCTTTTTCTTTGAGGCAGGCTCTCTCATGTAGCTCAGGCTGGCCTTGGATTCCCTGTGCTGTTGAGGATTGCCGTGAGCCCCTCGTCCTCTTTGCTCTCCCTGCAGTGCTGGGATTTGCGAGCGTGCACCACCATGCCTGGCTTCCAAGTGTTTTTCATTTATTTTCAGAAGTTGAATTTATGTGTGAGGTCCTGGGGTTCATTCCCTACACCAAAAATAACAAAGTTCGCTGTGTTGGCCTTCATAGTTATCTGGCTCCTGTTCTTTCCACTTGGCGTGGGGCAGACACAGTTGGCATGGCCTTTGAGTAATAAGCGCTATTTCTGTGTTTCTGGCAATCTGTGATACATTTGTTCTGGGTTACAAGAATTTTATTAGTTAGTCTGAGCAGCTGGAGCAAGTCATCTAAATTCTTAGGAGATCTTCCAGGCTCCTTCTGGCCAGCTGTAGTGATAAAGTAGTGCTCACCTGTTACACTCTGTGCCATGTCCGTGTCCAGTAAGAGAAAGCTTCCTGTTGAAGTGAACTTCTGTGCAGTCTGTCCCCAGCCCCAGGTGTGGGTTACTCTGACCGTAAAGTGCCTGTACAAACCGCTGTGATTTGGCCTTTGTTTTTCTTCCCAGTGTACTTTGCTGCTCTAATACTGTCTCTGAGTCAGCAGATGACAAGTGACAGGATCCACCTGTACACGCCGCCTGCTAACGGGAGCCTCTGGTAAGAATTCACACAGGTGTTACCAGTTGCTATGGTACTTCTCCACGTTTTCATACATAGATCACAACCAGGCCACGGTTCTGTTTGTAATAAACCACGAGAAGAAAACACCAGTGAATAATGACCTTTTTATAGCCTTACTTTTGTCTCTCTTGATATGTAGTATCAAGTAGCCCAAGTTAGCTTCAAATTCTTTCTTTGGCTGAGGCCAACTGCAAGCTCCTGATCATACTGCCTGTGCCTCCTAAGTGCCATGATCACAGGCAGAGCCACCACACCCAGCTCACTGCAGTTTTAAAGGAACTGTGTTCTTTTCAGAAGTATGTTTAACTCTGTGAGCCATCATGTAGTGGGTTGGAGGTGCCCTGTGCCTTTACCCCTGGTGGAGCCCTCAAGACCACGGAGCAGTGGTGGACACTGGGTGACCAGAGTAGAGGCCAAGAACTGAGCAAGTTGCTCTAGGAAGAGAATACGGGGGAGCCAGCATCTTCAGATGAGCGGCCAGCTGCGGGGGTGGCAGGATGCTGGAATCCCAGTCTGTTCTGAGAGCGCGGGTGGGGTGGGCTAAGACAGAAGGAGAGGATGGTCAAGTGGGGGAGATTGCCATGATGGTGTAGGGGAAACGGTCAGGACTCTTGAGGGGAATCCAACTTTTCATCTCTGCTAATCTACAGAGAGCTGTTTAGACGCTTCAGATGTGTTCTGAGGTCTTTTCTCTGTCTGTTTTAGGAGACTCAGATTTTATTTCACACTTGGGATCTCTCTATGAGAGGGCACTTTTTAGAAGTTCATAAAATCGTTACATTTGGACGAGCGAGCAAAAAGGAAGGCGTTTCTGATGAGCCTCTCTTTTCCCCAGGGCAGCAGAAACCGAGGAGCAGATTCTTGTGCCGTGGATCATCGTGAACCTGGTGGTGGCCCTTCTGGTTGGGTTATCCTGGCTCTTTTTGTCTCACAGACCAGCCATGGATCTTAGTGAAGGTATTAAAATACAAAGATAGAAGTATTCTGAAATTTCTCTCCTCATCTTAGAAGTCTTCCAATAATGCTATTAAAACAAAGACATTTAAAATAAAATGTTTAGAAGGACAATGAAAATGACAAGGACTCAGGATGGTGGAGCAAACAGGGAGGAGGGCCTAGAGGGCTGGAGCCTGGGAACACTTAGTGAGGGGCCTCAGCCTTCTGCGCATGCGGCCCGTGTGCCTTCTCGGAGCGCTCGGGTCCTGCTCAGCCTTCTTCACTCGATGACGTCACACTCGCTAGTATCACCCCTGTCACGCACAAGCGAGTCGTTGGCACAGAATCTTGTTTCGTTCCTATTTTACCCTCAGTGTGCCCAGTGCCCAGTGAAGTCACCAATCTCTAGACCCGTGACTCTTTTCAGAACACCCAAAGGGGAGCTCCCCTTAGCAGACAGCTGATCGTCAGCAAAAGCTCCAGGAATACTTGGCGCTTTGCTGGACACCGTGCTGCTTGGCAGGGCCTCCCCATTGCCATCCGTTCATATGTGAGCACCGTGGTTACCTCATGTCTGCCACCTAACCAAACTGATGAGCTCCAGTGAGGGGAGAGCAGCGGGGGAAGACACTGACATCCACTGCCCGCTTCTGCGTGTGTGTGCACCACAACATGCACACACTCGTGAACGTGTGTACAGTACACACGTATTCATACACAATGACATTGCACTCAGTGTACTTTGCTGTTTTTTTTTCTCACGAGGTATGTTTTTTTGTTCATTCGAAGAATTTTTGTATCTAATGGTTTATGTCAAAGGAGTTTTATTTTTGTATTTCAAGGTTTAATTTTTCTCTGTTTCTTGACATTTTAATAATATGTTTCTGTGTGAAACACTGTTCACTAGTCAGTCATGAAAATGCGAACTACCTGCGCTCCGGTGTTGCCGAGACTGACGCCGCATCTGGCTGGCTTGTGCAGGTTCTGTCTCGGTTACAGCGTGCATGGTGCGCAGCAAGGATTTTAGAGACTGCTGTCTTTGAAGAATGGTAAACTTAAAAAGCAAAAACAAAATGAGGGGAATACCCAGCTTATTGAGTCTTTTGGAGATGAAATGGGATCACAAATTCGAGGTATTTTAGTAGATACCCTACGTTAGCTCTGGATCCTCCTCCCCTGCATCTTAAATTACCCGATAGACTTAGATCATCTTCAGTGATCCTGGGCTGTCTAGGTGACTTAATTTTCTTGGTAAGATGTGTTTCGTTGTCTATGTTGTATTATATTTTTTAAGATGTTTATAATGAATTTAAAACTTGAACTTCTAAAAATATAAAACGTGTCCACTTGCTGCCAGCTTAGCATTTAGATAAGAGAAGCCTCCCTGAAGAATTCATACATGAGGACCCTGCGTTACCACGTGCAAATCAGTATTTATTAAGCTGCAAGACTCTTTTTTGAAGAGCTGGGAAAGTGTTTAAAGTGTGGTGTGTTCATTTTCTTCTCCAGAGCTGATGTTCTTCTCTGACGTGGAAGAGTGCCCTGATAGGGGAATCCAGGCATCTTCATAGTGCCGACACCGCCTCTGCAGCAAAGACCGCACTTCCTCGCTCTTGTTTTTATAAGATGTGTGCGTGCGTGTGTGCATGTGTGTGTGTGTGTGTGTGTGTGTGCGTGTGTGCAATTGAGCTTTTGTTATATGATGCTGAAAGACTTGTGAAGATTATGAAAAACATTTAAATCGTATCTGGTCTTTATACCCAGCATTAATTTCTATAGTATTGTCTGCCACCTTAGCCACACAGGAGATAATGGGCTAAAAAAGCAGGGGGAAGTGTTTGATCCTGTTCTCTCAAATTTGCTATATTCATAATCATAATAAAAAGCACCAGTTTAGAAAAGCCATAACTTCAGTGTTACAAAATACACATCACGTTCCAATGTAAATGTAGAGAATAGGGTGGAAGGGGAAACACCTTCATTTTGTATTTTTTAGTCTCCTTATTGAACACACTACAGTATAAAATCTGTGTTTTCTGAATCTGAGTATCATGTAATAATTATAATTTGAATTGAAAGATATTTTTCTTTATGGCTAATAAAACAGATATATTTCCGTTTGAAAAGCTTTTTAAAGTTTTATTTTTCTCTTTTAAAATCTGTGCCAGTTGTTCACTTGTCCGGCTGCACGTCAGGATCTGTAGGAGCTTTGGAAGAGCAGCTATAAGGGCTGGGAGTAGTATTGTGTGGCTGGAAGCGAAGGCAGGAGAATCAGGAGGCCAGGGCCACCGTCCACTGTTAGCAAGTCTGAGTCCAGCCTGGGCTACACAAGAGCCCTTTTCAGAAACCAAAAGCAGCAGCGATAAACTCAAACATAGCAAAAGAGAAGCCGAGCCATGACTCAGCTCAGCCCTGTGATTTTGGGTTAACCCCTATGGAGTGTCTTCCCTTCCCCCCCATCCTCCCCCTCCCCCGCCTTTTTAACAGTTGGCGATAGCAAACCCAGAGTCTCATTCTGTTAGGCAGGTGCTCTGCCACTGGTTCGCATCTTTACCCCCCTGGTGTTTCTGTTTGTTTGATGAGAAAGGGTCTCGCTATGTATCCCGGACTGACCTCAAACTCCTGATCCTGCTTCCCCAACCTCTTGAATGCTGAGGTGGCAGGGTCCTGGTTCTTCTTCTGAGCCACAAGAAACACTGGTGAAAGTTCACCATTCTCATTCTCAAACTCTCTGTCAGATATCTTCAGGTTTTTGGGAAATTCCACATGGAAAAGGCTGTTTTCACACACTTCCAATCTTTCTCCAGCTGTTGCCTGTGAGCCCCTATAACATACGTCAATGGGGAGACCTTAAGAAAAGAAAGTGGGGGCTGGAGAGATGGCTCTGTGGTTAAGAGCACTGGCTGCTCTTCCAGAGGTCCTGAGTTCAATTCCCAGCCACTACATGGTGGCTCTCACCTATCTGTAATGAGATCTGGTGCCCTCTTCTTGTCTGCACGCGTACATGCAGGCAGAACACTGTATACATGATAAATAAATAAAAATTAAAAAAGAGAGAAGTGTCTCAAAGGCTTGGACATGTCTCTGGAGCTGTCGGACCTCTTTGATTAGCACACGACTGAACGTTGTATAGAAGATGATTAGCAGACTGATAATTGAGGTGTTTGTCCCCGAGGACTGGTCTGTATTTGGTACAAGCACCCCACTAAAAATGTCTCTTCCTGTCTGTAAGGCCAGAGTGACGGAACAGTGTGACTCTATAGGCAGTGCCGACTGTCCTGTCCGTCTTAGTTGTCCCTGTGATTGGCAGCAGCCAGGAGTATAGGCCTCTGCTCTGCAGCAGCTGCCGGGAAGTTGAGCTGAGATTCATCACATCTGAACTGTGGTCCCTTGGTTTGGACCCAGCTGTGCAGCCTTGGTTGTCCAGGAACTTGTTTTGTAGACCAGGCCAGTCTTGAACTCAGAGATCCACCTGCCTGGAATGGAAGGTGTGCCCCCATTGGCCAGCTGCACATTGACTCCATTTTACAGCGCCTGCCTCTGTCTCCGTGTGCTGTTAATGGATTAAAGGTGCGTGCCACCGCCACCCAGTAGTAAGAGTACAAATAAAACCATCTCTCATTGAGAAACAAAACAAAAGCCCCAAGATTACATTATCTGCGGTGCTAGGTATACTTCGTGCTACATTACGTGAGCCCTTATGAAGTCAGAATGAGCTGCAAAGACAGGTCACGCAGGAGTGGAGATTAAACACTGCAGCAGAGACCCACACGGGCATCACTTAGGAATTAAGGGGCTTGGGGTTTTGTGCCATGCAGCCTGAAAGGGAAAGGCAGGGACCGAGTTCTTGTTCCTAACCAGTTCTGCCTTTGGAGATCAGCAGCTGCTGGTGGGAGCCCGCCTCGAGGGCCCTGCCAGGCAGCAGGTGGAAGACAGCAGCTAATTGTCCTTTGGGACGTGTGTGAGAGCCCAGGGCAAACATACTGTCTGCCGTCTGGAGGGTCTTAATCTACTTAGAGATAGGAGTGAAGAATCTAGAAAAGGCTCTAGGTGAGGCTGGATGCGAGCAGGGGCTGTGCAAAATGGAGTTTTTAGTGGTAGAGATTCACTAAAGGTGACTTTTGAGCTCCCTCTTGCCTAAAAGACTACATTTCCAATATTATAGCAATAAATAATGACTCTGAGATATTTAAACATTTAACATGTTTTATTTAAAATTTTTATTATTTAAAATTTAATATTTAAAATGCTTTATATTTTTAAAAGCCCAATGTGCAGCTGGCCAACGGGGGCGCACACCTTCGTCCAGGCAGGCGGATCTCTGAGTTCAAGGCCAGCCTGGACTACAGAACAGGTTCTTCGATAGCCAAGGTTACACAGAGAAACCCTGTATTGAAAAACAAAGCAAAAACAAACAAAACAAACATCCAATATGCCTTAGAGCCACCTTTAAAAGATATCTTTAAATGTTAAATGGCCAATAAAGTTCTGGAAACTTCTTGGTTTGCTTTGTGTACGATGGTTAAATTATTCTGATTCTGAGACAGCAGAAGGAATTGATGAGTCAGGCTGGGAAACCATAGAGTAAATCATTGTACTTTTCTGTACGGAGAGATGTCCCAGAATAGGAACGGTAAAGAAAGTAGGGTTCTTGTATCAAGGATACAATTGTTTTAAGGGTCAGATTTTTGTGAATGTGGCCTTATTACCTCAAATGAATTTGGAGGGTACTAGAGCTCCGGAGGTAAGGTAAACGTATAAGACTGTGCTCCGTGTTTGCGGAATGGTCAGATAAATGTGTTCAGGTAGGATGCTGGAAATATGCATTTGGTGCACAGAACGTGATATCTGATATTAATAGTCTAAAAGAAATGGTGTGGAGAGAGGCGGGCTCCTAAGACAAAAGTACTATTTAGGAAAATAGTACATTAGTTGGAGGAGGTTGCCCACCAGCAAACTCTGACTTCCGGAGGAAACAGAAACAGCCTGATGAGAACCAGAGCAGATGGTCCAGTTTGCTAAATCCACACCTCCAAACCCAGGAGACCTCCCGGCACTGCAGCCCGGGCGTTCTGCACGTGGTCCATAAAAGCGCGGGAAAGGCAGCTGCGCGCGCATGCGCGTGAGCAGCAAACAGCGGTTGGGTTAGTGGCTAATAGGGCCCTGAAGAGAATGTAACAATGGAGTTGCCTCCTCCGGGAAACCGGAGGGTTTCCATCAGTAACCCTCAAGAGACACCCCACAGGCTTTCCATCGCCCACGGCATGATGCCCGCCCGCTCGTCTATGGCCTCCTCCATTGGCTCCCCGAAGCCCCACGCCTTGCCTGATGCCCGCAAGTCTTCCATCCCGAGCAGTGTGCCAGGCCGGTCCATGCTGCCCAGCTCCATCCCCCAGAAGGGCGCCCTCCTCCTTCCGGATGCCACCCCGCAGCAGCGCAGAGGATCCACAGTCTCCTCCGTGCACTATGCCTATGAGCAAGCCAAGCAAGAGGCCTCAGACAAAGAGAAGGACAAGGAGAAGAAGGGCAAGAGCAAGAGCAAGAACAAGGGCGCAGGACTGATGAACGTGAGTGGCCCGAGTGGAGGGGTGGGGGCGCTGAGGATGCGAGACCCGCGGTGCCCTCGGGTCTCGCCCTCCCGAGACCTCCCTCGCTAGACACCTTAGGCGATTTAGCTTCTGCAGCGTCGTTTTTTATCGAATAAGGAGCTCATGCCCAACAGGGCAAAGGACCGTCACTGCCTGTTCACTGCGGGCAATGCCATGGCTGGGTTGTCATTTATCAAAATAGGCGCTAAACCCGAGATGCTTTATTTTTATGATTTATTTATTTTGTTATGGCGCGTCTTTGTTTTGTTTTGCTTTTCTGCGTAAACTCTGGCTGACCCGGTACTTGCTATGAAGCCCAGGTCCATTTCAAACTCTTGGCAACACCCTCCTTCCTTCCCCCCCAGTCTTATATACTTAAGGGATGAGATGCTGGTGTGTACCACTACACCTGGATATTACCAAAGTCTTACATTATGACCCTGGAGGACTAATTCTTCATCAAGTCTCCAGTGTTTAGTGAACTAATACTTTATGGAGGCATAAATGACAAGGGAGAACCAAGTTGCAATTCGTTCTATATAAAGGTCGTTAGAGGACTATTAGGAAAAATTTCATCCTCTGTGGCATTACTTTATGAAGAAATAGTGGAGTTGAATTATCCAGAAACACGGGTGGTGGTGGCAGCGCACACCTTTAATCCCAGCACTTGAAGGCAGAGGCAGGCAGATCTCTGAGTTCGAGGCCAACCAGGTCTACAAAGGGAGTGCCAGGGCAACCAGGGCTACACACACAGACAAAAAGCAAGCAAACAAACAAAAACAAAAAACAAAAACCTGTCTCAGAAAACCCAAACAACAATAAAAATCCAGAAACAGACGGTACATATAAAAGATGAACTCCAGGGGCTGGAGAGATGGCTCAGAGGTTAAGAGCATTGCCTGCTCTTCCAAAGGTCCTGAGTTCAATTCCCGGCAACCACATGGTGGCTCACAACCATCTGGAATGAGGTCTGGTGCCCCCTTCTGGCCTGCAGACATACACACAGACAGAATATTGTATACATAATAAATAAATAAATAAATATTTAAAAAAAAAAGATGAACTCCATCTCTGTACAATAATTATTTGATCTCCAAGAGACTTTTATAGCACACTTTTAGAGCATTGTTATACATTGAGAGCATATCAAAGACTAATAAAAGGAGAGATTCTAATGTATAATACTCAGTTAAAAACCACAGAGGTGTGTAAGAGAGATTCGCCTTGAAATCAGGCCACGGGCTGAGTTTATTGTATATGATCTTAAGGAATTTGGGCTTTATTTCCCAGGATAGTGATTTCTAATATTGTTTTGAACATGGCAAATTCCTTTTTTCAATGTAAAACTTTCCTTTTGCATAAAATAACTGATCTTTATTATTTGCTGATTGGATAATTATAAAACCACAGAAATGAGCAAAGAGGCCTGGTATTATTAATAGAACTCTCCCTAGGTCATGGTTTGTGTTTTAGTTTTTCGTTCATCTGTATCCAAGCCGTGCTTGGTAAAGCGTTGATGTGGGAGCCTTGGGGAGAAGGCTGAGCAGTCAGAAATGCGCACTACTCTTGCAGAGGAACCTGAGTTCAGTTCCGTGCCCACGGCAGGTAGCTCACAGTCACCAGTAACTCCATGGAGCTCCAGGAGACTCGGCCTCTGAGGTCATTTACACTCATGTGCACACACTCATGCACACACACAAAAAATAAATCTCTAAAAATGTAGGTTTTGAGTCTTCACCATAGTCCTCCTGGATCAGAAGGGTGGATGGATGCAGGAATACGTTCAGATTAGAACTGTTTTGGGCTGATTCCTAGACACGAACTTAAGAATCACCACAGAGGAAAAGGAGACTCGTTGCTATGGTGACGACAGCCAGAGGAACTGGATACACGGTGGTGAGGCTGTCTCTTTGTTTGTAGAGTGCCTGTGTAACACGCACAAGTCCTGAGTCCAATCCCTGCACTCCAGAAACAGTGGCCCGGACTGCGCTCTCGTATCAGGAGGCACAGGCAGAGGGATCAGAAATCTAGGCCTTATTTGCCTACATAGTGAGTTTTAAAAGTAAATGAATGGCATAGCATCAGAAGGAGGGGTAAGGGACTGGGAGTCTCAAATACCTTTTAATTTAAATTTTTATTTATTATCCTGGTTATTGTTTGTTTGTCCTTCCTCTGTCAACTTGACACAAACTAGAGTCACCCAGGAAGAAGGACGCTCAGTTGAGGAATTGCTTCTATTGGATTGGCCTGTGCCCATGTTTCTAGATTTGTGGTGGTTGTGAAAGGGCTCAACCCACTGTGGGTGGTGCCACCCCTGGGCTGGTGGCCCTGGGTTCTATAAGAAAGCAGGCTGAGCAAGCCATGGGGAGCAAGCCAGCAAGCAGCATTCCTCCATGGTCTCTGCTTCAGTTCTTGCCTTAAGTTCCTGCCTGATCCTCCCTCCATGATGGGCTGACTATAAGCTGTAAGATGAAATAGACCCTTTCCTTCCCAAGTTGCCCGTAGTTGTATTGTCTTAACCTTCTATTTCTGGGGAGAGATGCTATGATCAGGTCAACGTATGGAAGAAAACATTGAATCTGGGGCTCACAGTCCCAGAGGGTTAGTCATGGCCATCACGACAGGAAGCACGGCAGCAGGCAGGTGGGGATGGTGCTGAGCTCACAACTCATCCACAGGCATGAGACAGAGAGGGGGCCTAGCTGGGAACGGGGTGGGCTTTGGTAACCTTCACCTCCCTTCAGTGACACACCTTCTCTGTCAAGGCCACACCTCCTAAACCTTCCCAAACAATTCCACTGCCTGGGAATGAAGAGATCAAATCCATGAGCCTATGGGGGCTGATTCTCTTCCAAACCGCCACACATAGTATTTGTGAGAGCAATCTAAAGCAAACCAGGACAGTTACTACAGGGAGTTGTCACAATGGTCACATGCAGGTCAGAGGATAACTTAGTGGAGTTATTGTCATGTGGGTTCTGAAGGCTAAACTCAGACCACCAGGCTTAGGCAGCAAACACCTTTACCAGAGGAACCATTTTGCCAACCCTTAAAGAGATTTAAAAAAAAAGTTTTATTAAAATGTAGGTTTCTAAGGAAATTGGAAAGATGGGTTATGCATAGTCCTTAGATTATGATATATTGTAGCTTACGACTTCAATAAAAATGTATATTGCCCTCCTGGTTTGATGGCACATAGTGTTGTTCCTGCGTTCAGAGACTAAGACGTCAGGATTTGAATTTCAGACATAGCCTGGGCAGTACAGTGAAAATCTGTCTCAAGACTAAACAAAATGTGAAGAACGACCCCAAGTTCTAGTCCCAGTTCCCTTGAACCTCTTCAATTCCTTTCAACAGATCAAGACAGTTCCTCACCCTGGGCCTTGTCTACATCATGGCTAATCCTTACTTCTCATACGCTGGAATCTAGTATCCTTCTAAACCACCATTGATTTCCATCTATTATGCCTGTTATTTGAAATAAAGGCCAAGCTCTGGCCTAAATGCAGAAGACGGAGGGAAAGTCAGTCGTTTTCCTGTATGCGCTGACAGTTACAGATAGCTTTCCACTCTAAAGGAAATAGAGAGGGTGATGTCAGGAATTGTGGCGGAGAAGGGACAGACGGGGAGCGTAGCAAGAGAAAGCGTCTCTGAGCAGGTAGCTTCTGAATGAAAACTTGGAGAATGAAAAGAGGTTGGGTGGAGGAGAGAGCATTGAGACGGGCCAAGCAATCGTGAGGTTTCTGTGGAGTCATTAAGTGTGGAAGGTTCAGGAAACAGGGAGTAAGAGCGGGAGTGGTGTGGGGGGAGGCTAAAGCCCTCTCTTCATTTAAGGCCCCTCTAAAAGCTTTTGAGAAAGCATTGAAGGCTCAAATTAATTTTCCTATCACATTTTTTTGTTGTTTTTTTGTTTTTCGAGACAGGGTTTCTCTGTGGTTTTGGAGCCTGTCCTGGAACTAGCTCTTGTAGACCAGGCTGGTCTCGAACTCCCAGAGATCCGCCTGCCTCTGCCTCCCGAATGCTGGGATTAAAGGGTGCGCCACCACCGCCCGGCGAGCATCTGATTTTTTTTTTACTGTATTTACTATTAAGACTTGAGCCTGTCAGTGGCTTTCTGAGCATCGGTAAAATCAACAAACTTTGGATCAGCTGTCCAGAAATCAGACTCTGGTCTATGTGAGATTAAGACCATTCTTCAGGGAATTCCTTGGACGAATGTCTCAGATGTATGAGATCACTCTTTTTCACGGCTTCTAAGAAGGTGTCTGCAGACAAGTTACTGAGCATACTAGACCCTAAAGGCTAATATTTTGTTTGGTTGGTTGGTTTTTGTTTTTCGAGACAAGGTTCCTCCTTAGCTTTGGGGCCTGTCCTGGAACTAGCTCTTGTAGACCAGGCTGGCTTCGAACTCACAGATCCGCCTGCCTCTGCCTCCGAGTGCTGGGATTAAAGACGTGCGCCACCACCATCCGGCAGAGGCTGGTATTTTTTTTATAGTGGCATGTAAGCCCCCTTTCAGGGGGCTTTTTATGGACGGTAGAATTTGTAAGCTTTTTTTTTTTTTTGCCTCTCAACTTCATTACCAGGCTGCCGGCTCAGACTGTTTTTGTGTAAAGGATGTCTTATCTAAAGAGAAGTTTGATATTTTGCTTGGTTGTTGAGAAAGTACAGTATTGGAAGAAGCCCAGAACCCATGAGGTTTGCAACCACAGGATTCTGTTATGGTGTTAGGGATTAATGATGTCATTGCGCCATGTGTTCCATCACTCCAGGAACACATGAACACACGTCGGTTTAAGGAAGATTTACCAAGGTCTAAAACTTACACGGCCTGTTCAGGTTTGGGCCTTGGATGTCACTTCAGGAAGTTAAGAATAAAAGCCACTAGCCACGCTACAAGAAAAAAAGAAAGTACAGTATTGGAAATTAAAGGTGGACAGCTGATCATTGAGAAGTATGTCAGTTATTTTTCATGTATATTACCTGTTTTCTCGTATGACTTCTTTTTTTAATATTTATTTATTTATTATGTATACAGTATTTTGTCTGTGTGTGTGTCTGCAGAAGAGGGCACCAGACCTCATTACAGATGGTTGTGAGCCACCATGTGGTTGCTGGGAATTGAACTCAGGACCTTTGGAAGAGTAGGCAATGCTCTTAACCACTGAGCCATCTCTCCAACCCCTTGTACGACTTCTTGTACAGATTACATGCAGCTTCATTTTTAAGTGAATCTTTAAAATAAGGAAATCTTTTCAGGAAAACATTTACTTTTTGTAGTTTTGATTTTAAAGGCATGAATCGCCGGTTTTCAGTGTTATTAATGAAAATTCTAACTTTTCATCAGGTTGTGTGTTTTCTTATTATTATCTGTTATGTATGTAGTTAGCATATTGAGTCACTGAACTGTTTAAAAATCTAGCACGGAGAGCAAGCCTGTTTTGTGGAAAATCCTTATTCTTAAAAAAATAATCATGGCGGATTTTCTATGTAAAAAAAGCAAAAGCATTTGCAATTCAGAATACGGACTTTTTTCTTTAAAAAAAGTATTTTGCTTGCAGGAACAATACTACAGATACATTTTAATGAGAATCTTTGAAATGTATTCAGCTTTAGGGCATCTGGGCCTCTTTATGCTGTTTGTTTTATGTCTTTCTTGAAATAAAATGTACATACATTACCTTTAGAAAGAAAGGAAGGAAGGAAGGAAGGAAGGAAGGGAGGAAGAGAGAAAGAAAGAAAGAAAGAAAGAAAGAAAGAAAGAAAGAAAGAAAGAAAGAGCCTCTCACTAAACTTGGAGCTGGGCTGACAGATAACAAGGACCAGGGTCTTCCTGTCTCTCCACCTTTCATTTGCTCTCTTGTTCTTAACCAAAGTTTAGTATATTTCTCCATGTTTGCCACCTTAAATTTTTTTCTATAATTTTTTTTTTGTCTTTCCTTATCCATCTGTAAATTCAGACTAGATAGATACTCTGCTAGATAAGACCACATAGCTGTTTGGCCCACTCAGCTGGCAAATGCAGTCCTCTGAACTCGAATGCAGCCATGAAGCACGGGCCTGCTCGCTGACCGCCTAGGTCATCCTGGGGATGGTCAGCTACTCCCCAGGGCCGGTCGTTTACCTTACTTCCTTGCTAATGAGGAACCGGGGAGTCGTAATATTCTCTCCCGTGGCTCTGGGGAGGATACCTGGTTTCTGTCGTGTTTTGCTTCTGGGCCGCTACTTGTTTCACAGAGACAAAGAGCCTCAGACGGTAGAGGGAGGTCATTGCTGTGAAACTTGGCTGGGGGAAGGAATGGATGTGAAAAGAACACATTTTTAGTCACCACTTCCAAGCATAGTGAAGACTCGTCTAATGGGGCAGTTGACTCTTCCTCTAACGTACCATGAAGACAAAGGTTCCTCTTTTTGGAAGCAGTTTTGTAAAGCAATTAAACTGTGGTTATGCTTCGCCCATTTGTCTTCAATACCAACACTTACCATCTGAGGGCAAGAATTCTTCAAGCTGGAATCCGGCTGGTGCCAGACACATAGTGGTGTCATCGTATGGGTACTCACGAAGCAATTAACTTAAGGATAACGGGGGTTCAATCAAGACTCAGAAGTAAACGCATTCTAGGAAAAGTAACTGTATGGGTCAGCGGGCTTCCAAAGAACTCTGTGGGTAAGACACGTCTCCAGAGAATGGAAACGATACAGACATTCCCGACAAAGCCACAAGGGGCTTCCCGAAGTTACCCGAAATCACAGTCTCTCCAGGCTAGGCAGAAGTTCCAGGTCATACCGGAGTCATTATGTGATATGTTTAGAACTCTTGCCCAAGATTCTATTAGGAATTGGGCAAATTCGCGTTTTCCTGCTGTTGCTGCTGCTCACGAGAGCTATGTTCAGCTAGGAAGGAAAGCGCCAGGCTATGGAGGTAGGCAGAATCACGGTCAGGAACTGAGCACGAAACTGTAGCGAAGGCGTCTTAAAGGGTCCAGATTAGCTCTTATCAACTGAAGCTCGCGTTCAGAATAGACGCGGAGTCCATGCCTGTACCTGCAGCATTTGGAAGGCTGCGGCAGGAGCATGTCTGTGGTTTTGACGACTGCTTAGGTTACATAGTGAACTTCACATTAGCCTGGGCCACAGAGGGAGACAGTACCATAACAAAACAGACTTCCAAAGTAAGGGATAGAAGTGTAATAAGAAGCGTGAGGTTTCACTTAAATACAAGCGCAATATATCATGGTTAGACATATCTTATGGTATGGTAATTGTAAGTAGTTACTTTAAACTACAGTTAAACCACAGACAACCGTGTGTGTGTGAGAGAGAGAGACAGAAAGAGAGTCAGGAGCAACAACAACAAACTGATTGCAGATATATTGGATCATTTTTTTAATTGTTTATTGATACCTATTATTAGTTCTTGAAGGAGAAAAATTGGCAGTACCGGATTCCTAGGTCCCATGCATCCTTTATTACAATTCTGAAATATGCAATACGTCACTATGAACCACATTACCCATGCTATTCAATAGATCACAGAAACATACTCAGCTTCTCTAACTGGAACTCTATCTGCTTGGGCCAGCTTCTCCCCACCCGTCTATCTGGCCTCCCCCACAGCCTCTTCCAGGCTCGTCTTTATTTAAGAGTCTGACATTTCTACGATTCCACATATAAATGAGGTCACAGAAGTCTGGTCTTTCCGTGTCCATCTAGTTCACTGAGAACAATATTCTCTAGAGTGACCCATGTAAGGCAACGGGCAGAATCTCCTGTCTTCTTTGAAAGGCAGAAGCACACTTCATTTTGAGTGTAGTGTGTTTTCTGCAACCAGCAGTGGGTGGCATGAGGTTGCTTCTACCTTAGGGTCTGAGGACAGGACCCCCACGAGCACGAAGACACAGTAGGTCTTCAAAGCTCACTGCATGCATGAAAAACCATGGCAGGTTTCACCTGGAAACTGTGAGACCCTTCTCTAAGGTGTCCTATGTTTTATCTATGTTTCTCATTTTGATAGAGTTACGTTTGAATAGAAGTTTGGGTGACTGCCATACTGGATGGAGTGATCTTATAAATGTTCCAATATATCCTGCGGTGTGCTCAGTCCATTAACTCACTGAAGGACCACTGTTCATATGCATGTTTGCTTTTCTCCTCTTTTCTGATTTACTGGAAAATCCCATAGTTAACTATGTACACTTTATTTGTTTATCTAGTGATAAAAGTATTGAAGATAGAAATGAGTTTCTTATTCATAGTTATATCCACTGCCTAGAGCACCAAATACATACTAGACACTTGGTAAAATATTAGTGGGAATAATATTTTATCCAGTGATGTTCTACTTTTTCATCTAAAGTGTTAAATTAATTTATTTTCATTACAGATGCTAAGAAAAACTCTTCAAGGGTCTCAGAGTGAAGAAATGGTAGTAACAAGTGAAACACCAACTTTGGTACCATTTGGAGATGTGGTACGTATGAGTCACCTTCAGCGAGCCCATACAAATTATTTCTCATTTGGGGGCTATGAAACACAGTTGATATTATTATCCAGTGATTGAAAAGTAAGTGAAGAAAATAGTCCTCTAGGATAAGCATGCTCATGAATTTTTATTTATATGAGTCATCAAACCACTAACTATTCACCCAAATTATGGAAAACATTCTAATTCACAGAAGTAATGTTTTCTATTATAAGGATCCCCAATCACCTGACATAATTGTAAGACACTCATTTGAGACCCACCTAAGATCCAGTAATGTCCAGCATCTGTCTGACACAATTGCAAGACACTAATTTGGGGGCCCGCCTAAGATCTGCTAATGCCCAATGTCTGTCTGAAAGAGGAGTCTGTGTACCAGTGTTTTTGTTGAGCTCAAGTGATTATACTTATTTACAGATTGGCCGAAGGTTTAAAAATTGACCCCTTTATCCTCCATTGTCCCCTTTATCCTCCGTGCCCCTCGCCGACCTCAGAAGCAATAGTTTCCACGTGGCCACAAACCTTGCTTGGGTGGTGAGATGGCAAATGGGCAAAGGCACTAGCCACCTGGTAACGCTGAGGACCTGCGTTTGAACTCCAGGACCCTCACCGTGGGAGAAGGGGACCAGCTTCTGCAAGCTGTCCTCTGACCACCACACATGCCATTGTGCACGTGTCTACACACACACACACACACACACACACACACACACACACACACACACACACAGGTGGGGTGGGGAAAGGAGAAAATCAGAAGAGAGAGAGTGATGTAATAGAAAATTGTAAAGAAGAAGCAGTATTTTAAAAAGCTTTTTCTAGGCCGGG